GGAGAGCATGAGAGGTGGGGTGGTGGTGGTGTGTGTGTGTGTGCACATGCATGTGTGTGTGTAGGGGGCCCAGTGAAGGCCAGGCGAGGTGGACTGAGATGTTTGAGATGAAAGCACAAAGGGACCACTTACAATGCAAATGGCCCTGCAGCGGAAGCCTGTTATCGAGAGCATCTAATGGGTTTTTGCAGGGCCAAGGCCAGTGGCCCCAGGCAGCACGAGGCTTTCCTGGTTCCCAGGCAGCTGCCTGCAGTTGGCACAGACCCTGCTGCCGGGCACAGCTCCTGACCCCTCCAGCTAAGAGTCCAGACATGCTGGCATTACCTGGTGCCCTGGAAACCACCTGCCTTGTCCTGTGCCACCTACCCACCCACATCCTGGGGGCAGTCCCCGCTAGAACCATCAGACTCCCTCAAGCAGAAACAAAGATGGGAATGGGTCTGGAAGAACAGAGCCCGGGGCACCCACGGGTGATGAGAAAAAGCTCTCCACCTGCCATTCTTCCCCAGACAGCCTGGAGTGCTCCCTGAGAGCTCCCTCCTGCCTCGTCCCACCCCCAGGCCTCCCACTACAGTCAGGACTGCACTGGCCCAGGTCAGGTTCTCACCCAGATAGTGCTAGGAGTTCTGATTCGGACCCCTGAGCAGTTACTGACTGTTCCTCAGGGAGCCAGTCTGGTTCAAAGCTTTCTTCTCCTTCCCCTGCTCCTTGAGGCTTTGCCAGAGTTTGTAGGACTCCTGAACCCAACCAAGTTCCCTCCAGACTGTGAGCTTCTTGAGGGCAGGACCATGTTGCAATACCCAACACAGCTCCTGGCACATAGTAGGTGCTTAATAATGACAAACACTTACCTGGTGCTTACTATGTGCCAGGCACTGTTCTAAGAGCTTTGTCAACGTTAACTTGTTTCCCCTCACAACAACCCTGCGAGGTAGGTACTGTTAGCGTCTGCATTTGACAGATAAAACACAAAGAGAAGTGCCTTGCCCCAGGTAGCACAGCGAGCAGGAGGTGGAGGTGGGATGTGAACCCAGGCAGTCCACCTCTGCTCACGCTCTCCCATCAGCCAATGGGTGTTTGTTAGATGGAATGAGCTCGGGGTGAGTGGATGTCCCTGAGGTCGCCTCTGAGTGAGAGGCAGACCTGGGACCAGACTACCTGGGCCAGAACAGCCTTGGGGGCATGAGGTCCTTAGGTCTGCACACTCTAGCAGGTGGTGGGTGGTTGTTGGAAGATGGGCCCCATTTCTTCTCAGGGGTGTGATGGTCCTGGGGTCCTGCCATGGTAGACAGAGCCGACTCCTGGAAGGTTTTTTCCAAAGCCTAGAAGAGCCTTTTGCTTCCTTCAAGGTCACCCTGATGGAGCAGCTTTAGCCAAATCTGTGGATGGGGTGAGGGTTGGAGAGTGTGAAATGAGGTGGGGCAGAAAGGGCCAGGAGTGGACACAGGAGATCTGGGGTGCAAGGGTATATGTGAGATGAGGTCCTGAGGGGTACCCTTGACCTTTACCACTCTAAGGCAGGGTGGTCTGGGAAGTGGTTGGGGATGCCCTGGGGTCAAAACCAGAGGGTATCTCATTGTGTGGGGTGGGGGCTTCTAGTCTTAGGATCAACCTGACCCCTAAGGACCATGGGGTGAGGATGCAAAGAGCAGAGGAGCACGGACTGGGGTAAGGAAGGGAGGAGAAGGAAGCTGGTCATGTGGGGTCGTTGCTTTCTTAATGGGAAAGGAGAGGCTGCAAGTCAGGTTTGGGAAGTCCCCTGGAGGACAGCAATGGGGGAGACCCAATGGGCCAAAGCAGGTGCAGGCTGATGGAGTGGTGGTCCCAGGAGCTCCTGAGTCAGGCCGAAGACCCTAGGAAAGGCTGTCCCTGACCCCAGAAGAACAGCTAGCAAGTTCACACATTATCCCTCCTCTGCTCTTTAGTTCAGAGCACTAGCAGCATCTGATTGACTCCAGGGCAGTGTCTTTCATTAAAATCCCCAATTTTGGGGCCGGCCCGGTGGCGCACTGCTACAGTGCGCCGCTTGGGAAGCGCGGTGGCACTCCCGCCGAGGGTTCAGATCCCACATACAGACCGGTTCCCGCTCACTGGCTGAGCAAGGCGCGGGAGCAATACTGAGGGTTGTGATCCCGTTGCCGGTCCCGGTCTGGTACGGGCGCGACACTGAGGGTTGCGATCCGTTGCCGGACACGAAAAAAGACAAAAAAAAAGGAAAAAAAAAATCCCCAATTTTTTCTGGATTCATAAGACTTAATGAAGCTCACTCAAATTTCTCTGGTTGTCTATCTAACTGCCAAGGGGCTCAGCTAAACAGAGGGACCCAGTGGGTGGGGTTCTCAGGCCTGCGGTGCCAGAAAGTGTGATTTCTTCCAGGGGAGAGAAATCATGTCTGCTCACCCCTGAATGGGATGGAACCTGCCACACCCAGAATGTTTCTGGGGTCCAGGATGAAACCTTCCGTCGCAGATGCTCTGGGATGGACATGCGTAGAATTCACTAGCACTGTTCAAGGCAATAGGATGAGTTGTTTTCTAAACTTGATGTCCTGGCCCTATTTCTTCAAAGGAAATATGATCCCAACCCACAACATAGAAAGCAAAGGACAAGTGGGTCCAGGAAGGCCTCCTAGGCTGTCGTCCTGAGGCAGTGCCAGGGAGCCTTCTGTGAGAGCAGCCCTGGGCGGACCAGGGCCCAGTGTGGCCTGAGGCCTCTGTGTGGTTGGCTGCCTTTCCTGACCATTAATCACCACTAAGTGTCATTACTGCTAATAAAATTAACAGACTTTATACTGGACTCCTGGAGCCATTAATCTCAGGGTCTATTACATAAAATTAAAAAAACGAGTTCCTGTTGGTGAGTGGATGGATGTTTGCTAAGCTTGGGAATGCTGGTACTCCACAGCTGTCAAAAGGTCAGAATCAGGGATGAGATGACACTCTCAGTTAGACAAACCAGCTCTGAGCCTTCACTCTACACTATAGGGGTGTCTCGGGCACGAGCGCAGCTGGACCTCAGGAAGGCTCTGGGACCAGGGACTGAAAGACTTCCCAAATTCCCCCTCCCACTCTCACCTTTGCTTCTCTCAATGCATCTGGTTCATTCTTTTTTTCTCTCTTTGGGGCATCTTCCTCTGTTTCTCTTCTGTGTTAAAGGTCTAGTCACCCAAAGAGAGAAAGAGAGAGAAAGCAACTGTGTGCTCCCTTAACTCAAATTCCAAATTCCTAGAAAAAGAACTGATTGGCCTCGCTTGGGTCATGTGATCTCACTGGTCCAATCAACAGGCCAGAGCAGTAAGGTCATGTGGTATAAAATGGCTGACCAGGGCCACATGGTAGCCATGTAGATAGAAGGATGGGTGGGCAGCCAACATGTAACATACTATATATTATATATGACATATCATATTGCTATCATGATATAAAAATAATAGGTATTATTCTTACAATGGCATTTGAGACAGGCCTTGAAGGATGTGCAGCCCCACTGGCCAAAATTCCCATCACTCCCTGCTTGTTCTCCCATCTGTCAATCAGCTTCTGCAAGGAGGTCCTGATTTCTGAAACACAGGAATTGTGTGTGCAGAAGTTGCCCCTCACACCAACCCCTGGTGTGAGGAGGAGGACGTCTGAGGGGCTCGAAGGCTACTGTCCCCTTTGCTACCTGCAGCCCCTCAGCTGCCCTCTGCGCAGGAAGCCAGTCAAGGTGGGGCCTCCTCAGCTGGAGGTGACATTGGGTTCTGCTGTGGACCTGCCAAGGGTCAAGCTCTGAGGGTTTCCTGCCAGGCTGCAGGGAGGGGTTTGGCTGTAGACTGATGGACTGGAAATTTACCCATTTGCCCCCAGATTAATGATTAACGGGTCCCTGCCCTCACCCTGTCTGGGTGGGGAGCCCAGGGCCAGGCTGGGCAGGGAGGAGCCCGATAGCATCTGTCTCTGCTCAGAGGTTTTGGAGATATTCCCCACAATGGGTTGGCTGCACCGAATGGATATAGAACCTACGGACACTTTCTGGGGGCACCTGGGTCTCTCCAGGACCCACACCCTCCTGTGATACTTCCTACTCCTGAGGCAGACAGACGGGGCTGGCATCCGGCCAGATGCCTTAGCTAAGGCAGGTGGCTCCAAACAGGAGAGCCGTGCCCTTGGCTCAGTGGGACATGGGCCTCTGACTACTCAGGGCTTGGCCACAGGGCTCCCCTTAGCCAGTGTCACGTGAGCAAAATTGGCAAGTGCCACATCCAAGCAGGAGCTTTAAGAACCATTGCCTGATTCCTCCTTTGCTCTCTTACCCTGGCCACGAAGCCAGCATATCCCAGAGAGGGGCTGCTCCCTCCAGCCTGCATCCTGGAATGTTGTATATTCCACACACGCTGGGAGGGGAGCACCAGGGCAAGCGTTTTGAACTTCTAGAACCATCTCACACAGTGCATCCAGGAAGAGGGAGAGTGAGCTCTAACACGGGTTCCCACCTGGCTGCTGACCTGTTGTGTGACATGGGCCAGTCACTGCTCCATTTCCTCATCTGGTCAAAGGGGAGACTCTGCCTAGTAAGGGAATAGAGCATCTTGCAAGAAGAGAGAGGTTTGGGAAACTCCAGCTAGCAGGAAGGTAAGCCTGCATGTCCCAAGTACTTGTCATGTAATCTCCACCCTGGGAGGTGGAGAGGATCATTCTTGCCACTTTCCAGAGGAGAAAGACAAAGCATTGAGCATTGCACAGCTAGGAAGCAGCAGAGTCGGGCTTAGAATCTGGCAGCCTGACTCTGGAATCGATGGACTTTAGATGTGGGAGAACAAGAAACCTGGGACAAACGGCCTGATGGAAATTCAGTTCCTTCACTTTCATCCAACCATCCATCAGCCTGTCCTTCCTTCCTTCCTTCCTTCCTGTTTCCTTCTTTCCTTCCTTTCTTCCTGGTATTCCCCAAGTATCTATTTGTACCAGACATCAAACAGTGGTCAAACAGTTGGAGATCTATCTAGAAATCATGGAAACAGGATGGCGTGGGATTACTTGGGCAGCAACATGATGTAAGGGAGAGAGGGGTAACGGGGGACCTTGGCTGGGTGTCGGCCCAGTGTCTACACCCCCTCTACCTGCCCCCTCTTAGAGATGTGGCTCTCCCTTCCAGGCAGTGACCAATCCCACATGCTGTATTTCCCAAACTTCTCGGATCATAGAAGCTGTCCAGGAGATGTGGTAAATACACAGATTTCCAGGCCCAACTTCAGACCAATAGAATCAGAATTGCCAAGCCTGGATCCTGGGAATCTGGATTTTTAATAATGACACCAGGCGATTTTTCTAAGTGGGCAAGTTTGGGGAATACGGTGGGTGAGAATAGCAGAGACTGCAATCTGGAAAACTTGGGTCTGAGGTTCTGCACTAACCCTTGTTGCAAGCACCTTGGTTTTCTCCTCTGTATAATGCAGACATAACCTCCATGGGGCTTGCCTGACACCAGGAGAGTAATAAATGAATCCCCCTTCCCTCACCTGACCCTTGTCCTCAGGGATTAACATCCTTTGCTCTCCCCTGTCACGACCCCCAAGGGTCACCAGTCTCCCTTATCTCTCCCTCTCCAGCTTGACCGGGAGGGAGGTCCTGACACCCTTCCCAGGGCTGGGCACGGTGGCAGCCCCGGTGCAGGGCAGGGCCCACCTGAAGCAGTGTGACCTGCTGAAGCTGTCCCGCAGGCAGAAGCAGCTATGCCGGCGGGAGCCTGGCCTGGCTGAGACCCTGCGGGACGCTGCACATCTCGGCCTGCTTGAGTGCCAGTTCCAGTTCCGGCATGAGCGCTGGAACTGCAGCCTGGAGGGGAGGACAGGTCTGCTCAAGAGAGGTAGGGAGTAGGGTGAGGAGGGATGAGGGGAGGAGGGATTGGGGAGGAGGGATACGGGAAGGAGGGATGGGGTAGGAGGGATGGTGGGACAGGGATGGGGGAGGAGGCAGGCTTGGGAGAGGCTGTCCTTCCCTCTTCCAGGCCCCTGTGCAAAGGCCACACTACACTTACTACCCCAGCATAGTCCCAAACGAGGAGCATCCTGGGGAGTTAATGATGGTCTGTCGAAGGCCAGCCATGGCCCGGCCTCAGGTTTGGGGGAGGAGAGGAGCAAGGAAGACACAAGAGAGGAGGAGACACAAGGCCACTCCTGCAGGAGCCCACAGATGAGATGGCTGGTCCCCTGTCAACTCCCTCTGCCTCCTCCTCACACGTGGGAAACAAGTGCAAGAACACAGAAGGATGGAAGGCAGTCAGTAGCGGGCCAGTTCATGCGACAGGCCCGTTCATGTGTCCCGCTACTCATCTACCTCTTTCTTCTCATCCCTTGATCCATCGTTTGCTCCTTCCCTCAGTTCCTGTTGGCCTCCTTCCCTTCGTTCTGCATCTCTCCATGCTCCACCCAGCCACCCACCCACTCACTAAGCATCTGTCGAGGCCCACAGAGAGCTGGGCACTGTCCTACGTGCTGGAAGTGCAGGACTAAATAAGACCCCCCCTGCCCTCAGAAAACACACGGTCTAGAAGGAGAAAACAGGTCATCAGGTGATTCCATCACCACATGGAAAAGGCTAGAATGGGGACTTTTAAAAAAATGCAGTAATGGTGTACAGGGGCAGCCAGCCCCTTTCTAGGCCAGCTGCTGTCCACAGCGGGGGAGGGTCTGGGGCAGAGTTAATGGCCTTCTCTCTCTCTCTCGGTGTCACTGGCATCCCAGGGCACAGGAGAGCAGGCAGAAGGTAGAGAGCCCTTTGGGAAGCCAGGTTTGGACCCCACTGAACAGTACAAGAGTAGCAGTGGACCTGGAAGTGGGTGGGATGGTCGATCTGGGGAGTGTCAGGCAGACGTCCCAAGGTCACTCTGTCGTTGGGTCTACTCCACAGTGGGCAGCCGAGAATGACGTTTGAGAGGCATTGCGAAGCACAGGAATCCCACGGGGCGTATCGCAGAGGATCAGGGGCTTCACAAATGGGTTGGGTCAACTTCTTACACTTGGACTTGGATTTGAGAGAGCTGGTTTCACATCAGCTGTGCCCCTCCTTAAGTGCCTAAGTCACTTCTCTTTGCATCTTAGTGTTCTTATCTATTAAGTAGGGTCCTGCTGCCCTCTGGGAATCTGGGCACATACTCCATAGTGAATTTGGAAGTTCCATTTAAAGGACCGCTTGCAGCCTGAGTTTAAGGGGC